GCGTGAGCAGTTCTGCAGCGTGGAGGTGGGTGGCGCTGCCGCGGCCGCCGCCGCGCTGCCGCCGCCGCCGCTGGTTGTCCGGGCGACGCGGCGGGCATCCAGAACTGCGACCTCGGCCACGAACTCTTGCGCGACTCGGCGGAGATGATGGCGCCTTGGCCGCGCCGCGAGCCCGCGCCTCCACTGGCGGCGCCAGCCACGCCTCAGGTCATCACGAGTCGCGAGACGTGGCGTCGTCGCGCTGGCGCGCGCCGCCGCGCGCCCCCGCCAGCGCCCGACGCCGCGGCCGCGCCGCCGCGGGCCGCCGCCGCCGCGCCGCCAGCCCGTCCACGTTGGGCCACGTCGTATCGCGGATGGCCGAGCCGATGATGCGGCGATGTCTCTCGATGTCGGGCGCGCCCAGGAGGCTGTTGTAATCGACGATTGGGCTTGACGACGCCGACGGGCGTCCCACCGTCGACGACGACACTTACCGGCTGGTCCGCGGTCGTGCTCACGTTAGTACGCGGCGTGTTCCCCGTCTTGTAGATGTGTTTTGTTGTTGTGAGTGGCGTTGTGGTGTGAAAATTGCGTGTTGTTGTTGTTGGGTCTCCCCATGGAAGAGGCCGGTGGTGGGGCCTCTGCGGCGACTGGGGCTGCGCGCGATGGCGTGTAGTGCAGCCCCGAGATGCCGTTTGATGCTGTAGGTGGCCGTGTAGCCCGTGAAGGGCGGGAGGGGCTTGAGCTCGGCGAAGCTGTTGTTGGCGGTGCGCCGGCGGGGGGAGCCCTGCGACGAGTTGAGCAGCAGTTTGTCGAGCGCGTCATGGTGGCTTGGTGGAGGAGTCGTCGTGGCGCCGAGTCCATGACTAGCTGTGTGAGGCGGCGTCGGTCGGGCGTGGGCTCGTCCAGGAAGTCGCCGTCGCTGGTGATGTAGACCGCGTGCCGTTGTTGCGCGCCGCCGCCGCCCCGCCGCGCGCTCCGCGCCGCCGCGCCGCTCGGAGTCGCGTTGGGGATCCCCACGGCGCCAGCGCGCCCAGCACGTGGAGAGCAGCCAGCGTGTCTACCGGTCCAGGCCCGCAAGCGTCTCGCATCCACAGCGCGAATCTTCCATAATATGGAAGGCGAGGGACGTGGCGCGCGAGTCCGGCGCTGTGCTTCTCAATGCAACGTCGGGTGCGCGACGCCCGACTTGTGCTGGGCGCGCCGGAGGGGCTGCTGCTGCTGCTGCTTGAGGTGCCGTTGGAGCTGCGGCCGGCGTGGTGAGCCCGCTGCCGCAACTAACTGCTTCTGCTGCTGGCGCGCGGACGGGGGCGGGGGTGGCCTATCCGGACACTGGCCACGGAGGATCCAGGGGAACACGGTGAAGACAAGGCGTCCGGCGAGCTAGCGAGCGGGGCGGTCGTGGGCGTGGTGCCAGCTGCTAGCCTGGCCAGAGGAGTGGCGGTGGTGCGGCTGGCCCACCGGCTGGTCCGACGCCTCTGCCACGCGGCTCGATTGCCCGCACTCGCACGCACACGCCAAACGCAGGGCCACCACGCGCAGCAACAGCAGCAACAACAGCAGCAGCAACAGCAGCAGCCCAGTTACCAAATGCAGATGCTGAAGCGCGAACCCACCACCACGAGCGGCTACCACATGCCGCTGCTGCAAAGCCGGCTGCAGAACGGGCCCCCGAACGGCTCGATGAAGCCCGAGCCGTCGTGGAACGACTGCCCGTCCCCGTCTTCCTCTACTCCGTACCTGAACAGTAAAGACATGATGATGCCCCACACGACGACGGGCAGCCCGCCGGGCCACGTGGTGAGCACCACGGACAACTCCATGCTGCTCAACGGCCGCTACCAGCAGCGCAACGGCGGCAACGCGCGCGCCGCGACCTTCGGCCAGATGCGCGGCCTCAAGGCCACGGGCATCCCGTCGCCCGACATCCTCAACGGCAGCTCGCTGGACGGGCTGACGGGCGGCGCGGCCGGCGCCATGTTCCCGCACACCACCACCGCCACCACCACCACGCCCTCGCCCAGCAAGAGCAAGAACCGCAACCGGTCCAACCGCAGCAAGGCGGGCGGCGGCGGGGGCGGGTGCGCGGGCGGCGCGGGCAGCGTGGTGTACGCGGCCGACGGCGCGGGCGGCCTCCTGGGCAAAGAGAAGCCCGTGCACCGGTGCACCATCTGCAACCGCGGCTTCCTCAACAAGTCCAACATCAAGGTGCACCTCCGGACGCACACCGGCGAGAAGCCCTTCCGCTGCGACGTGTGCGGCAAGGCCTTCCGGCAGAAGGCGCACCTCCTCAAGCACCAGCAGATCCACAAGCGCGTGGGGCGGGACTGAGAGAGAGATAGGAAGAAAGAGAGAGAAAGAGAGAGGCGCGCTCTTCCCGGCCTCGGAGCCACAGTATGAAGCTGATGGGCCGGCCGCTGAAGGGCTCGATCGACCCTACGCGAGCGGGGCGCCGCGCCGGACCGCCCGGCCCGGCCCGGCCCGGCTCTCGGCCTGCGGCGCGATCGGTGCGCGCCCCGGCGGCCGGCGGAGGAACAGCGGCCCGACCCCAACGCCACCCCGCGGCACCACCACGAACTCCAATGGAAACAGGCCAATCTGCTTTATGTACTGAATGCAACACGTATGTTATCGGAGCGACATTCAATTACGAAACTGAGCGTTTGTTACAGAATGTAGGAAGTAAACTCGATAAAGGAAATCAAAATTAGGCATAATTATTAGGAAGTGATATATTCCAAAAGATGTACATTCAATAAAAAATGCAACCCACGTTTTGTAAATGACTGAAATATAGTTTAAAGTAATCAACAATTAGTTCTCTTACGGATCACCAGGTACGATGAATAAGTATTGGACAAGCAAATGCATCTGCAGATCTCATTTTTTGTAAATAACGTCTAGAGGTGGTTTGGGATTGGTAATGGGAACTGGTAAAACAAATATTTAGTGGATTCATACAAAAACTATATTTACGACGCTGGAACCCAAATTTATATCACGTTTCCCATAATTTCAAACGAAAAGTCAAAAAAAGAAAATGCATTTATCAACAATACGCGCCAAATGGTCGCCCATTTTAACACGTTAATCCTTAAGAGAGATTGTAGTTCCTTTATTAACAACGGTTAGTGTTGCCTTGCAAATCCGCAGCATTACCGTCGGGTTGCCTGTTTTTAGGAGGAATGTAATGAAGACAGAAAACAGATAGGTTTACTGAGTACAATGGTCGTGATGTGACGAAGGATTGTTTTGGCATTTATGCCTATGGACCTCCGAACAGTCCGACGTAAGAAGTGATCTAACTATTGCACGCGATAGATGATGGTTAAGAGTTTCTATGGCAACTATGCATGTAACATACATATATATGTAATATTTTAAGTGGTTCATTCCTATCATACGTTGTATATAAAGAGAATACTGACTTGGTCTAAGATGTGAACATAAGAATGGTACGTTTAAAGTAGTAGCATATAACTTAAAAGACAGACACACGTCAAAGGTTTGAATTTTTTGTATTATCCCAAGGCTTTGAACCAGGGAACAAATTTGGCAGTTAAAATTCAACACGTAGAGATTATTTATTTTTGTAGCTGTTGAACAACGCCAGGGACCTTTGGCGTGTGTACGCCAGTCGACGACACATGGCTATAATATTATTAAGTGAAAACATTTTCCTTATGCAAAAATCTCAGGTTAGCCAAAGAGTATATAAATGTTAATTGTTATTGTATAATTTTTGTTGTTTTTTTTCTTGGAAAATAATTTCTTATTGAGCATAATCGGAGAGAAATAAACTTAGAAGTATCCTTGAATGTCAGTGTAAGCTGTTATGTCTAGTACTTCGCATTTGTGTAGGTTGTCTTTTTTTTTTAAGAATAGCATCTACTTTTAACAGCAATATTATTTGTAGCACAACTCTGTATGTAACTTTTATTACACTTAAAGATAGAAAAGAATCATTCTCTCTAATAATTTTGTTTTGTAAATATTCATTCTTTAATTTATCTGTTGTATAGTAATTTTTGCTATGTTCAATTTATTTTTTCTTAATAGAATTCTCTTTTTTATTCTTTACGTATCAATGGATTCCAATCTAAACTTTTTGGGCTATATATCCAATCATACAACGAATTTCCTATTTTGTCATGCTTTTCCCAGAACACATTCACGCTGACGAAGCTATTGCACAAATTGTGGGGTGGTAGCTTGTTATATTAAAGAAGCAAAATTTTATAAGAAAGAACACCGGGTTCAGTGATAAAGCAATATTTTATATTGAAATGTATTTTTCTTACTCCTATATTTTGGATTACACTCATGCAATTGCGAGTAATGACAAGTCTCAGTTCGTATTCGTTTCAAAAAATGTGTCTTGGAAAACCATGGAAAGCAAAGAAAGTATTATTATATTTATTTTCATAGAAGATAAATCTTGTACACCTTGAAAATATAACATTGATATTTGATATGTAATAATAAAAATTCTATACAAATTGAAAACTACAATGGTGTGAGTTCTTTCAAATGTAATTGAACTGAAGGTCGAGAACAAAGTCACTTCTTCATTCGTGATGTTCGATTTTGGTATTCAGGAAAGTGTCAAAACGGGTAAACGATAGATTCTGGGCCAGGGCACCGTACTGAGTGTACCAGAAATATACGTTCCGTTATTAGTGAACGCGGAGAAACCGCTGTGTGTCAAAACCCGCGTTTCACCCCTTCTCCTAAACAGGGTCTCGCCACCTCACGGCGCTATCCGCTCTTCCACACCTGCACTTCTTTTCTTCGATACTTTTATAGCATTTGCTTAATACAATTTGGTGTAATATGTTTTCTATGTAAATAGCAAATAAACTATGAAGTTTTCATTTTAAGTGATTTGGTTTATTTATGTAGAAGCGCCGAGTGTTGTGTAAATGGACGTGGAATGAAGTGGATTCTTTTTCAAACCCTTTTCTCTCTGTTGCTTTTGTGTTATTTATTTTTAACGATGCCCCCGATTGCGTTCAACGGGCACTCCACAATCAATGTAATTAAGCACATTATAGTGTTGTTGGATTCGTCTACATGAAAAATGGTCTTTGTTAATAGCAGCTGATACGACAAATGTCTTGCAAATGGCTCATATTGTTCAAATGTCTTGCAAATAGTAAAATACAACCAACACGCTTTAGTTTTTTTTAGAAATACTGTTTTGACAAATCTGTACATTAGAATGGTTAATGTGGCCGGGTGAATGATCTCTGGTCTAATTAGGTTCGAAAATTAGCATTTCCTGTCACGCGCACAGATCGCCTATTGTTTCGATACAACAATTGAGTGCTGCTGCCGAGCACAATCGCCCGTGGCGGTTTTCACGGCAAGGACGTCTGCTCGTGAAGATATACCACTTGCTCCCTCCCATCTTGCATAACAGATATAGGATATATTTTGTTTACCCAGTAGTTTACAAAGAGTGAAATTTATTGGAAATGATCTGCGTACATCGTACTGCGTACGTTATCTAATAAAGAAGGTCAATCAAAGGGAAAAAAGTGAAAAATAAAAGGACAAAAATCTCACTTGATCATAAAACTATGATTGTTTTAAAAAATGTATCTACAGAATATATTTTTGAGATTTTCAAAACTAAGAACTATGAAGGCAATGTTTCAGTTCCGGTTCAAAATTTTATTTCACATTCGTCTAGTTAATCATGATTCAAATTATCAAAACAAAGAGCACTATACCTGTTTCACGACCCCAGAGAATTACATTCTTTAGGTCCATATTCGTGATGTACTAATTGAATAATGAGAATATTTATATTTTAAAACTACTTGACAAACAAAAAATGAAGGTGGCGCAAACTGTAGCAGCCATGATGCAGAAGTAAATCACTCCGCTGATTATGTAGCACAACTGCTTCGAACCCGAGTTTTCATCAACCAGCAATCGTTATTAAAAAGTAGGACAACAATCGAAGTAATTAAGGAAATAAAATGGACGGCTTGCATCACGTTTTTTTAAACACATTAGCAAATACTCCTATCATTGAGATTGTGAAAACAAAACCCTTTCTAATCCTCATTGAACGATATTAAATATAACCGAGAAAACTACACTGTGCTCAAGATCAGTAAATAATACGTAACGTCGCCGAAAAAAGTACATAACAAAGCTGTAAAGCCCGACGCAGTCATTTGCCAAAGCGAGAAATATTACCAAGCAGTGGCTGGCGAAGCGAGAGAGTTTTATATCCCCGCGAGTGAAATTTCTCTCGCTCTAATTAGACTCCTCGGTTAATTGTTAATAAATCCGCCTCTTACACAGAGAGAGATCCAAAGCCGAGAAATATTACCAAGCAAGTGGCGTGGCGAAGCGGGAGAAGAGTTTTTTTTTAAAAAAAAAAAAAAAAAAAAAAAAAACAAAAAAACATTTAATTTTCCCCCCGCCCCGGGGGGGGGGGAAAAGGGTCTGGGGGGGAAAAAATTTTTTCTCTGTCCGCCTCTAAAAAATTTAGCACTCCTCGTTTTAAATTGTTAAATAACCATCCGCCTCTCGGGGGGGGGGGGGAGGGGGGGAGCGCTCCGGGGCGGTTGGAATTCCCTTGTCGGCCGCGGCTCAAGTCGTTTTCTTAAGAAACGAAGACGTTTGCACCCCCATCGCATCGGATGCCGGAAGTGGGCCACGCCGCGTCCGCAGGCCGCCATCTTGCGAGCAAATAACTGTTGTGAAAGTCTCCCCACATCGCCCGTGCCCCATCGGCCTCGGCACACACGCGAGCACACGCCCCTACGATGGCGGGCGGCGGCGCGGCGCGGCGCGGCACGAGGCTGGGGAGGGGTGGGTGCGGGGGGTGGGGGCCGGGCGGAGTAGGTAGGCAGCGGCCCACGTACGGAGACCGCGGCGGGTTGGGGAGGGGCGGTAGAGCAGACGGAACAAACGGGGAGGAGAACTGCGAACGCCCACCACAGGCACTATCCGAAACCCTCACTCGCCGCCCGCCCGCCCTCGTCCCCCGCCCCCA